GGTATATTTCTACAGAAAGAAATTGTACTTTTTTCTACCAGGTGTTTGTGAGCTTCACCAATCAGGAACCACCTTAAAAAAGATATATAGCTTGAGGTTTCTGGACCAAGCAGGTTGCTGTGTGCCTGGGTTTCAAGGTCATTTGAATCCTGGTTTACTTTTGATTCACTTTTAATCTGAGTGTATAGCGCCTTGATTGGGGGGTCAAGTATCTTAGCTTATTTTGATATGAATTTCCTATATACTCCTTCCTTGTGTGAGCCCTGCCTGGGCTCTGATTTCTGTCCCACTAGCCCGCAAGTCCTTCAGCCTGAAAATTAAAATTTGTTAGGATCTGCAAATGCAGAACTGCCTCCCTTCACTTACCTCTGTGAATTCCAGTTTTCCTTTTTAGTTTTGGCTCCTTAATATCTTGTCAGCTTTCTAGTGCTTTTAAGAATACATGCTTTTTATATTTTATCCCAGTGCTTAAACTTAAATGTGCAAATGAAATCACCTGATAATTTTGTTAAAATGCAGATTCTAATTCAGGTCAGGGGTGGGGCCTGATATTCTGCATTGCTAACAACCTCCTGGAGAATGTCAGTTGTGCTGGTGTACAGGTCACACTTTGAGTAGCATAGTTTTTTCCTACATTTTTAGTTCTTTTCAGTGAATGAGTTTGTTCACAGAAAAGACCATGATTATCAGACACTGGAATAAAGTACTTATTATGTATTATGTTAGGTATTTTTATATATTTTGTCATTTAATATGAAGTAGATGCAATTCATGTCCATAGAGGAGGACACTTGAGACACAGAGATTAAATAACTTGAGCAAAATCACAGTTAGTAGATGTGGTGATGGTTTATCTCAGATCTAACTCTTGAATCCTCCTGCTCTGCTGTGTTGTCTTTCTTCTTTTTAATCCATCTTCTATTCGCTTTATATTGACATTTAAAAATTTTTTATTTTTAGCATTCTTTATATGCTAAATATGGTTTTGAAAACATTTCTGATACACTTATGAGATAAAGAATATAGGATACTTCTAATTTACAATGAAATAATTCTTATAATTCACTTTTCTAGGTAAAATGTCTAGTGGAATTTTTAAAAATTAAGGATTTCAAATCAAATTTATGAAAACCACAATGCTGTATATATTTTCCTTATTTTTAATATTGAGTTGATTATTAAAGCAGTGACAAGCTTCATGATGCTCTGAACTTTAGTTATTCATTTTACTAGGGACTGTGGACATTTTAAAAATACTGTTTTTCATGG